TTCTATAAGCAGCTCCCATTTCTATAGTGGGGCAAGAGGGGAAAAAGCATCCAGGAAGACAGGGCAGTCAGGAAGGGAAGGTTTCTTTTCTTTCTTCCTCTTGAAACCTTCCTCTTTTCTGTATGCCCACAAAAGAACTATAAAAATCATTTCCCAGAATGACTGGAACCTTGAACAGGAGCACCTGAGTTAAATTAAAACTGATAGTCATTATTCTTCCATTGAGGGGTTTCCATAAAACTTCCTGTTTGTACAAACAGACCTGCAAATGAATCACCCAGATTATCTGTCCGAGATAGAAATAAGCAGATTGGATCTCAGTCACCTCCTGGGTAGTGATAGTGCTGGGTCCAGGAATACACCCTGACTGCTTGCCTCATCCTTAGCAGCAGAAGAAAAACCCAGAAGAGAAGGAGACACCCAAACTGCCCACACTAGGGGCATCCACTCCATCTTGTCTGGATTCAGCCACAATCTATTATCTCTCATCCATCCAGCAGCACTCAAGGGATGAGACAGCATCCACTGCAGAAGAGTGGATGGAGAGATAGAGCTGGGTGTCATCTGCATACTGGTGAAATGAAGCTCCAAAATTCTTGATAACCTCCCCTGGCAGTCTCATATAGATGTTAAATAGCAATGGGGGAGATGATTGACCCTTGAGGGACTCCACAGTTGAAAGTCCAAAGAGTGGACACCATTTTCCTGAGTTGCACTCTGAGGATGGTCCTCGAGGAAGGACTGGGGCCAGAACAAAGCCAGTCCACCAGTCCCCAGCTCCAAGGCCCTCCGTAGGAGGAGATCATGCTCAGTGGTATCAAAGGCCACTGAGAGGTCAAAGAGGACTAGCAGGGATATTTTGCCCCTGTCAGTCTCCCTCAAAAGGTAATTCTTCAGAGCAACCAATGCTGTCTCCATGCTATGATGCAGGCTGAACCTGGAGGGGAATGGATTGAGGGCATTGGTCTCCTTCAGGAGTGCTTGTAGGTGATTGGCCACTGGCCTCTCCACTAGTTTGCTTAAAAAAGGAATGTTGGCGATGGGTCTATAATTATTAATATCATCTGCTGCCACATTAGGTTTTTTGGGAATAGACCTAATGGGTGTCTCCTTGAGGGTGTGGGGGAACCTGCCCTCATGGGCATTTATGATGGAAGTGGCCCAATTCCATTGTTTTTGTCCTGGTAGCTTTTATGCGTCAGTTCATGGAGGCTGTGGTGGCCTCACAGCAATCAAGCACCCTGTCAACCTCAGATGATATAACATACTGAAATTGAGTTAAAATCATTGGATGAGCCAGCACAGTGTTCATCTCAGCTCAATCTACTGAAAAAGAGTAGTGGTCAGGGTCCCATGGATGGCATTCACTTTATTCTATTGGTCACAGGTGATACTACTGGGAGGCCTATCACTGTGACCAATTCCAGATAAATCGTGTACAATGCAAAATAACTTGGCCTGGTGGTTTTGGGCTTTGTTTATCTGGTTAGCAAAGTGTGATTTTCTAGTAGCCTTGCTGAATAAATGCCAGACAAAGTTTTTGCAGCTTTTAAGTTAGATTCCATTGGGGCATGCCTCTAGATTCTCTCAACCCTTCACCTGTTTTGCTTCATTGCCCATAGTTGTTGAGTATACCAAGAGGCAGGACAGGTTCGGCAGTGGAGAGGGCATTTGGATGTGATTGTTTCAGCTGCCTGAGTTGCAGGAACATACCATCTTTGTGTTAGAGATTATCACGTGTTTCAATGAGCTAAATTTAAGTACAGAGTCAAAAACATGGAGTTAACTTGTAATAACTTTAGGTTTATTAACTACAGACTTTAGTTTCAGTAGTAAAGGTCAAAATATAGCATTTGAGTTAAAAACAAAGGCATTTGTCTTACATATTCCAGGTAAGTTTCTTTAGCTTTAAAGAACATTTCTAAACTGGGTAAACCACCCCCTAAAGCTGCATGGCATGGATACAAGTGTGGATGGAGAGAGAGCAATCATATAGCATGTGCTCAGGGAATCTCTATCTTGGAATAGGCTCTTCTTCAAGGAAGACGGCACGCAAGAGAGAGGAGGGGCAGGAAGTGATAAATGCACAACAATGCCCAATAGCAGGGTAGAACTGAGTGATTGGCAGAATCACCCACTGCATACTGGAACACAATTGATCTGCATACTCCAACACTTTTGACTTGGGCTTCAACAGGAGCACCAACCAGATCAGCCAGTAACCACACATTGCATCTTGGAATCCAATTGGATCCAATAGCCTGCAAGGGCAGACCATCTTAATATGTCGCATCTCCCCACTACTGAGAGACTGCATTTAATTGAGTGGTGATCCAACCATGACAGAGGGATTGTCACCAGAATGGGCACTCTCAGGTCACTCTCTCACTGTCCCATTGAAAACACCAGGTCTAGTGTATGACCCACCATGTGTGTGGGGCCAATGACAAATTGGGACATGTCCAAGGAAGCCATGGTTTCCAAGAACTCAAAAGCTGACACAGTGACCTCAGCCTTGGCATGGATGTTGAAGTCTCCAGAGCAAGCAGTCTGGGGAACCATAACAGTGCTGCCAAGACAATGGCCTCCAGATCCGGAAAGGAGAGTGCTGGGTCACAGGGAGCTCAGTAAACCAGCAAAATACCTGATCCACAACAAAATGTGAAGTTCCTCCAGACCTGGGATTGACCGGGCAGACAGCCTGGCAACCTCCAATTTATTTTTTATGAACAATGACAACTTCCTTCATCATCCCTCCAGTCTACCTGGATGTTGGAGCTAATACCTGGGTGGACAGATTAGAGAGGGGACCATATCACCCTCTGTGCCCACCCAGGCTTCAGTAATGCAAGCCAGATCTGCACCTTCATCCAGGATTAGATCCTGGATAAGCAGGGCTTTATTTAGGGCAGATCTGGCATTTAGCAACATCAAGGATAGAGTGGAGGGTTGGCTGAGTGGGTTACCTTGAGTCTGGTAGCTGACAACAGAACGAGAACAGGGAACAGCCTTCAAGCATCTGTCCCTTTTTCTTCTGGACTTGTTAGCTACTGTGCCAATGCCATATCTCCCTCTGCAAGTAACTAGTTGGATATTATTCATATCCACTTCACTAAATGACATGCCTTCAGTAATTGCAATTTAAAGTGCAATAGTGTAGTAATAGAACAATAAATAATAAAGTGCAATAGTAGGGGGTTAAAATCACTAAATATAAAATTAAAGTTAAAAAACACAGAAAATTAATTGCCAATTATAAGCCAGTTTAAATATAAATAAAATAAATGTCCTATTCATTTATATTTAACTACACTGTGGGCTAAACCGCAGAAGCCTGTGCTGCAGGGTCAGAAGACCACCGTTGTAAGATCGAATCTATGCAACGGAATGAGCTCCCATTGCTTTGTCCCAGCTCCTCGCCAGCCTAGCAGTTCGAAAGCATGTAAATGCAAGTAGATAAATAAGTACCATCTCAGTGGGAAGGTAAAACGGCGTTCCCTAGTCATGCCGGCCACATTGCAACTGAAACTGTCTTCGGACAAGCGCTGGCTCTACGGCTAGAGTCGGACATGACTGGATTAAAAATGACAAGGGGAAACTTTACCTTTACCTTTACAAAATTTAAATAAATTTAGAATTAAATGAAAGGCCAAATAAGGCAGATTAAATATAATCAAAAGGAAATGCTTAATATAAATTTTAAAAATAATTAAATTTAAAAATAGAACCAGGAGTAGGAGGTATAATAGTAGCTAGTAACCAGCCTCCCAGTGGGGGTGGAATTAGTCCTGGTGGGAATAGATGATGAGTTAAATTAAGATGTTAATTCATTAATTAAGATGTTGATTCATTAATATTGGGATAAAGTGAAGATGTTAATTCATTAGGCATAGACTACTTATCCATTTTCATTAATCATTCATTTTTTCAGTTATTTAGTTGTCTTTAGCACAAGACAATCAGATTCATTCTAACCAGATGGATTTCTTCAATTCTGATTGCATTAGATTATCAACCCTTGCAGTGCCCTTCCTGATCTATTTCAAATTGGTCCATATATTTAATCATTCATTGATCTTCCCATTTCTGTCAGTGGAGTCATTTGATTACACTATCCTCAGCAACACTGACACATATTTTTGGGCATGAGCAGTACTAATCATAATTCACATATCCAGCCATAAAGTTCCATCTTGATCTTCTCCACTTCCCTTCATGGTTCCACTCTTTTCTCTTTCTCAACCTCAACTGTTCTAATCCAGCAGTCCATCAAATCCATTGATTATAATCTGAACAAAAAGTGCTATTAAAGCCAGTACAATAATACTCCAACAGGGTGTTCAATTGCAGGCACAACAGAACACTGGCCTGCTAAATCTGGGAACTGGCGCTATTACAAGTGATTCTAAAGAGGAAGCAACCTGACTCAGGATTCTTCTTGCATTAACGCATTTGCCATATTAATCTCAGGCAGGGATTAAGGGATTGCATCCTGAAATACTCCACATTCAGCTGCTGGATTGTAATGGACCCACAATGTAAAACATTGATGTCAATTTTAAATCACCATTAGCACTGTTAGTGGCTCAGGTAGAGAGGGGAAATAACATGGATCTACCATGGAATGAATCCACTTGGACCGAGGTTCCTCTCATTCTCTGTTTCTTCAGCCACTTGGGTCATTTTAGATACCAGATTATAATGAGCTAGTAAAGTTCATAAATTGGTAAAGAGTTGTCAGTGCCAGTCCTCATTAGCAACATTGGAGCTCTGCAGCCAGGTCAGCATTGTTTCATATTGCAGATGGTGGTGAAGCTGACAGACAGTTAGTTGCATAAGGCCAGTTACTGAACAGGTGTGGAATTTGTTGTGTAGCTACTTTTCTACACTAATTATAGAGCAAACCCTTAAGGTTTGTATATCCATGTTAGGAATACTAAGGATATAATTATAACACAAATATCCACATTAGGGCTTTTTAAAAAAATGGCATTCAATACCTGCATTTCCTTTCTCACCCTTTTCTCCCTTCCTGCCATCCCTGCCATCTCGTCCTGGGATACCAATGCGTCCATGAGGTCCAGGTAGTCCACGATCTCCAGGAAAACCTGCAGAACCCGGCAATCCAGGTACACTACAAATGTATTTTGTAGAATAATTTTCTCCTTTAAACTGGCTGTGGAAAGTTTGCCCACTTATATAGATGGCAAAACTTATGATGTATAGCAATGCAAACATCCTTGGTGCTGAAAAAGAACACAGATGTAACTAATTAAGATGCTGTAAGTAAATCTTGAAAATAGATTATACGTGTTGTGACGGGCAGCTCAGAACACTCCTGTCAGTCAGGTCAGAGCTTGGATGTGGGAGCCTATGACATGACAGGAGGGGCAGAATCATGGAAATAAAAGGAGAAAGATAGACAGTTATTGATAGTTTTAGGCAGTTAGGGCAGTTAGAGAGTTAGAAGAGACAGGGATATATAGAGAGATTGAATGAGTTAAAAGGAATAGTTAAGGAAAGACTGAAAACAAGAACTTGGAAAGTTGGTGTGGTTAAGATTGCAAAGTGTGAAAAGTGCTAAGAAATAAATAAATAGTTGACTATAGTAATACCCTGATTAAAGTGAACCTACATAGGCAAACATAAATGTAATCTAAGCAACATTGATTGAAATGAATAATAAAAGACCATCCATGATTTTCTTTATGTGATTTACCTACAAACCCATAAATAAACATTTTTATATTTGACAATACTGATCTAATAGTCATATTTGGTAAAGTGAGGACCATATCCTCTGGTGGCAGCGAAAAAGGGTGAAAAGTACATGTTGTGCCTGAAAGGGAACCTGGGTGGGTAGAAAAACAAACAGGTGAACTGGGGGTGCGTAACATAAAGTGGTGACCAGCGGCGGGATTCGAAGTGAAAGAAATCCAGTAAGCCAAAGTAAAGAGAAATTTTCAAATTCTGGGATTCAAAGTGAATGAATCCCAGTAAGCTAAAAGGAAAAGAAATTCTCTGTGTTTAAGAGACCTGTTTGTTAATAGCAGCAGACAGAAGTTTACTGTGGTTGATGGGTGTCATTAGCTGGTCTTTTGTTAGTGATCCCAGCTCCTTGTGGCTTGGTAGAGTTCATTGACGTTTTGCACACTGTATTTTTGAGAGCTGGGACCCAATTTTTGTTGTCCAGTATATATTGGAACCACAAAATGAAGCATCCACACCAGAATCAAAGAACATGAGAGACACTTCAGACTAAAACAACCAGGGAAATCTGCAGTAGCTGAACATGCGCTAAAACAAACTGGACATGAAATTCTATTTCAAAATACTGAAATACTGGACAACACCAGTGTAGCGGGCCACTCTCAAGCCTCTACCAATACAGGCCTCCAAGAGTGCTCACTACTCTTCTTCAAACTGCTGCCACCAACTTATCCTTAATACTCAAAAAGGACAAGTGTTTCTTTTAAAACAAATAAGTTGTTTATTGATTTGAGAAAATAAAAGGAGTGAATCACAGGAAGTAAATCAGGTTGTTAATCACAGTTTTCAATTACTAAATCACACAGACTTTTCCCTCACTGACTAGCTCTCACAAATCTATCTCACTCTCTCAAACAACTTCTCACATCTCTCAAACTCCCCAAAACTCCCCCTTTCACACATCACACTCATCTTATATAATCCAGCTCCTCCCCCCTTCTGCATCACCCTCCGTCCTCTCATTGGCTGAGGTTCCCCTGCCCAGGTGAGAGCAGAGCTGTATGCCACAACCAGCAATCATTACGTCAGACTGCACAGGGAGGCCATTGAAATCCACAAGCACCAGCAGAACTTCAACAAAAAAGAGGAAAGTTTGAAACTCAACAAAACTTGGCTGCCAACTCTCAAAAATACAGTGTGCAAGAGGTAAACGAACTCTACCCAGCCACAAGGACCGGGGATCACTACACACAAAAGAGCAGCTAATGACACCCATCAACCACAGTGAGAGATAATCTCTCCTTATCACAACAATACACCCACAACAAGAAATACTAATCACCCATCTACAGAAAAAGACAAAAGCCCATCTCACAGCCATAAATACTCCACTCCCAAGCCAACTACACCAGAGCACAGAGTGCTGTCCTCTGAAGATGCTGGCCACAGAGACTGGTGAAATGCTAGAAAGAACAACCTTCAGAACACGGCCAAAGAGCCTGAAAAACCCACAACAACCATATCCATAACTCATTATATGGTGACAGAAAGCTGGAACATGTTCTAGGTCAGCACAACAGGGCATAACCAGCAAATAGAAGCTCAAGTGGCAGTCAAAGAAGTGTGTGTTTAAACAGTACCTGTAGGGACATCACTCGGAGAACAATGCCCAAATGATCCTCATGCCTTTGTAAGGCTACTATTTGTACTTCATTTAATTAAATTCTTCATAAAACCTCTGGTTTATGAATGTGGGATAATGGGCATTTGTACCCATAATTCAAAAATCCAGAAAATGGCCTGCGATTGCTGCACAATAACAAGTCTCTGTTGCCAGCAGGATAAATGATGCACACTTTACATATGCTGAGTGAATTAGACATTATTTTTAAAAAACTGCATGGACACTGAAGTCTCCATAATATTGATGTTGATTTCATTGGAATAATATTGATGTTGATTTTATAGGAGTAAACTTTTGGAGTAAGTCCTTCTAACCTCCCCTGCCCTTTTTAAAAGCCATTTTTGACTGCTCAGATATGAATTGGAAAAATGAATTTGTCCATTTCCTGACAGACTCGAGCAGGAAAGATGTGGGACCAGGGGATGTTGAAAAATCAAAGATACAGAAAGAGAAAAGGATTTTGTCTCTGGCTCCATCTACCACTTCTTTGGGAACTGTATCATACTATATCTGAAGGAATTCAGACCACAACAGAACTAACCCTTCATATACAAAATGTCTAGGGCAAGGAAGAACTTCTGATTGCTAGGCCACCTGTTTATATTCACACTTCCTGTTGCGCAAGAAGAAGATAAAAAATCAAACAAAAGGCAACCTAATAGAGTGAGCATCAAAGAAGAGGGAGAGGGAAACAAAGAAAGAGGCAAGCTTAATCATAGAATCATAGAATAGTGAAGTTGGAAGGGGCATATAAGGCCATCAAGTCCAACCCTCTGCTCGATGCAGGAATGCAAATCAAAGGATATCTGGCAGGTGATTGTCTAAGTTGCTCCTGAAGGCCTTCAGTGTTGGACCACTCACCACCTCCCAAGGCAATTGGTTCCACTGTTGTATTGCTCTAACAGTTAGGAAGTTTTTCCTGATATTCATCCGAATGATCCCTTGCCAGCCATCAAATTGGCTGAGCTGCTTGTAAGTCAGAACAACCACCTTGTTCCGGGCCTGTACTCTTTTTGGAGAACTGTTACTCCATTACTTTCTTTAAACCAAGTTTATGTTTTGGAATTTCCTAGTTTCTTTCAGTTTGAGCTGCTTAGTTTGCAGCACTCCTAATAGTTCCTTTGCCCTCCTTTCACCCCAAACCTTTGCTGAAGCTACTCTTCTTGTCAAGCATGTACCATACATGGTCAGTGTTATAAGAAATCACTGTTTCCCTTATTTGAAAGGTATTTTTGAGTACCAATATTTCAGCCCCTGGATCCTTTCCAAATAAAGAAAAGTGGATGCGGCCAACATTTCTCTTTCACGATAAGAAAGATTGGTCTTTCCAATTTATATATGCTACTTAAAATCTTCAATAGCTAGAAGTTGCCTGTTTCTGTATGTGGGAAAACAGTTCTACTTTTAAAGACTCATAACTTGAAAATCCTTGGTATATAGCAAGAGCTGGTTGCTTGCTACAAATGTGCCAAATTTGGTGCCTATCCAAAGGCCAGGTTAAAATTATAAATTCTTGTTTGGGCTCCCCCGTTTAGAATTGTCTTATAGAATGTTGCCTTGTTCTGTCAGATAACATCAAAGGTGCACATTACCTGCCCCTCAATATCAGGAAAAACAACCTAACTGTACAACAGTGAAACGATTTACCTCAGGAGTTGGTGAGCACTGGGCACATTCAAGAGAAAATTAGGCAGCCATGTGTCAAATATACTTTACCTTTGATTTCTGCATTGAGAAGGGGGTTGATTCAATGGACTTATAGGCCCTTTTCAACTCCATTGTTCTAATATTTCATGCTTCCTCAGGAGTTCCTGCATCTGGTTCACTTACTGATTCCATATACTGTAATAAATAATTCATTGCATCAACTGGTACAATCAGTACTCCTCAGTATTATTCAGAAGTAAGCAAATGATTGGACATATATCAGAGGACTAGAAGGTGACCATTGTAATAGAGTGGACCCTCTACTTATGGAATTAATCCGTATTGGAACGGTGGCTGCAGGTCAAAAAGTCTGTAGGTCGAGTCTCCATTGACCTACAATGCATTGAAAACCGATTAATCCCGTAACTGGCCGTTTTTGTTCCATTTTTGTTCCATTTTGGTTTTTTTCCTGGTCTGTAGGTTGATTCTCAGGCTGCAAGTTGAACCTAAATTTTGCAGCCAGAGAAGTCTGTAACTCAAAAAGTCTGTAAGTTGAGCCGTCTATAAGTCGATCCACTGTACAAATAGGGAAAATTAATATGCCAGTTACCTTAAATGGATGCTGGCTAAATTGTTGGATAACATAATTAATAATAAATAATCATGTATTGTTGAGTCAGTTCAGAGTTGTCTAGATACAGGATACTCAAAGGTGGTTTACCATTCCCTTCTGGGGACCACCTGGGAACTGTGCAGCTTGCCCAAGGCTACACAGGCTGACTATACTCGTTTGCAGGTACAGTGGGGAATCAAATTCCCAACCTCTGTCTCCATCATAGCCAGATACCTAACCACTGACCGATCTAGCGAGCTAGCATAATTAAGGGGGAGCATATATATGAGGGTATAGTGGAAGGAGAATCAGTATGGCTTTTGTAAAGGCCTGTCCAACTATCATTGTCCTTTTGATATTGCTGTTTAACACTACCAACCTGCATGCAGATAAGCGTGAACTAGTAGACATAGTTTTCTTACAAATTTTAAAAGGCTTTAATTTAAAGACTGATGAGCAAAATTTAAATTGGGGAATCTAATAAGTCAGTAACTATTTAAGAAGAAAGCAAATTAAGAATAAATTGACTGTGTTTCAGTTAGTTAGGCATCCTTCAGTCTCGAAAGACTATGGTAGCGTGCTCTGTGTGGAGG